GTTCTCAGAGGCGTGTCCACCTTCAACTGGTCAATATCCAAATTGACCTCTTCCTTCTGGAAAAATTCTTCTTCCGTGTCAAAACACGACAACCTCAAAAAAACCCAAAACAACAACAACAAAAACAGTCTGTAAAGCCATTTTTGAGATTCTATTATTCTGATGAAAAGTTGAAAAAATTTTATTTCAATGCTAAAGACATAGTAGGTGGTGAAAAAATAACTGAAAATTTGGGGTTAACATTTAAATTTTCCAAGTAGTCTCTAATTAGAAAAAGATGCTGAACTGTAACCAAGAAATAGTCATCTCCCATGCACTGTTAATGTCTGTGCTTAAAGCAGCACATGCCCATTGCAGTAAATCAATTAATCCTTATTAAAGACTTACTAAAAACATCCAAAATACATTCCATCCTACATAGTACTAAAATAATAGAGTCTCAAAAGTTCATCTGTTGAATCATACAGAGCTCCCATATATGCTATTTCCTGCCTTAGGGGGGATTACACTTGTTTTGTATCGATTCATTTTGCATTCTGCTTTGCTTTCACTTTACATTTCGCCTTTATAAATTCTCCTTTGGGTATCAAGGGTGTTTGCAAACTGTAATGTAGAAAAGCCAAAAGGAAAAATATTGTCATGATAATTCAGAATTCTATGTGTATAATATTTCATTTCTGAGTGCCAAACTGTTTTGGTTTTTTTTTTTTGCACTTCTTCAACAGCAACAAAACAATGTAACTAAGATTTTTAATTTTTCTCAGTCTCTATCGTACACAGAGGTGAATAGGAAGATTGCTCATGTGATTCAGTAGGCGTTTTCTTGGGAAGACATTTAGGAACCAAAAATTTTGTAAGAGCTAGACATGCAGATCTCCCCAAAATATGCCATTTAAAACTAATCTCCAGAGTGTTACATCATATTCTTAGCACATCAAAATTAATATTTCAGGAAAAATATCAAGAGGTGTTTTGAATGAACATAGAAAACAGTCAGTATTTTCATGTTGGTAATATAAAAACAGTATAAAGTTTCAAAAGTGAATAAAGTAATGTTAAGTAGGAAGGTGAAAGCTTAGCAATGTATTTTTTGCCTCAATTTGTTGTCTTTTATAGCAGACATATATATTATTAATGCGATGGTAGAACTTCAGGGGTTTTATTCTGTGCTATTTTTGCAAACAGTCAAACATAAGATTCTAATAAATTGTCGTATGATTTCTCTCTGAAATTCATTGAAGTTGATCCGAATGGGAGTCCTATAAAGGAAAAAGGTAAGAGCTTTCATAAGAAAATTAAGAAAAATCTAAATAGAGGAAGCAGTCAAAATTAGCTTCCCCAAACCACTCTCTTTTAGAGAACAAGTCCTACTGAGGGTTGCACAGTTATCAATCACTTGGAGTGACCCCACGGTGCCTTTCACATGCACAGGAGCACTTACCTGTTTTTGGCCAGTGGGACTGCTGCAGGGCTAACCCTGAACTGGCAAGCTCAGCAGTGACCACAAGAACTTGGGAAGAACTTTGAGAACAGCTACAGAGTGCTTTAACTTGGCTGTTGGAAACTATGTAGATGTATATGAAAGTTTCTTACAAAGATTATATTGTTAATCATGTACCAAAATATTGTAAAACTAATTTCCAATAATTAGCTTCCCACATCCATCTAAAGAATACATTTTCATTACATTCATAAAGCATCCCTTGCATGCATTGTACATTACTGTACTCCAGATCCACTAAAACCATGTTAGATTTAGGAACAGAGGCTGGCTACTGAGTAGCAGCAATTCAGGGCTCAGATTTACAGTCTTCAAGTTCAGGCAGGAGAGAGCATCTCTTTCGTGCTTTTCATGTTGTATGTGGAAATAAAAACTACTATGGTTTCTCACAGTTATATGAATTCATTTCAGGCAAGGAAAAGAATGAAGAGACTCGCTCACCTGTTCATGTCTCTGTTTGGCCACTCATTTTCTTGGCTGTTTTAACTGTTTTTGGAGCTGGCATGGCAGCCTATTTCTACAAAAGAAAAAGACAAAACCAGCTCTCAACAGATTCTGGCAATGAAACACTATTAAGATGATGTCTTGGTGACAGAAGAACTGGTGAGAATGGGTCCTGTGGCACGTTACTTGGAGCAGCAAATTACTCACTGGAATTAAAGGATCTATCTGTTAAAAGTCTGTAGTGAGATCTAGTGTAACCTTACATTAAACATTACACAAATTAAATCACTTTCCTCTTTAGCACTAGCTGGTTTTTTTATCATGCATATTTTACAAAATCAGAATTAGAGTTTGATGTTATAATTTTGTAATGGTCAAGATGTTCTCAAGTGCCTTAGTATGGAGGGTCATGCAAAAAAATTTGTCAGACAATTACGTGTACTGAAGAAGGACTATGAAAGTCAACTAGTGAGAATTAATGTCCAATGAAGTGCAAATGAAATTTAGAACTGCATTGCTGTGACATTGTGAACACTAAAAATTCTCAAAAATTAGAACCTGTCTAAATCTTTTGGAAACTTGAACTCACTGATCCCCACAAATTTCACTGCCTTAGACCAGTACTTCTATTGTTCTTTATGGCTAAATCCTATTAAACTCATAAAACTGCTTCATATTCTTTTCTCAGAAAACTTTGGGAAAGAAAACCTTGTCATGTTCATTTTCCTCTATAAAAAACACAGTTCATATCAGCAAGAATATTAAGATCAGTTATAAGTTGTCATCAGTTTTCAATTCCATGGTGTGGTTTTTAACTGTATTATGTTCACTTACATGAATTCTTACCCTGACATTCTTGCTTAATTTTTGTTAATGCTTTTAAAATAAATAAATAAATAAAATTTTTATTAGTATAATTTTCAGCTTCAGCATTCCCTGTGAATCAAGTGATGGAAAGGGGAAGGGGGGGGGGTGTTGCGCTCCTGTCAGTACAGTAACTCTTTTGTCAATAAGAAAACAAGCTTCTCTCCTCACCACTTTGAATTCAGCACCAACTTCCCATTTTCAAATGCAAGAAAAAGGAACTGGAAACTAAGGAATGCAGCAGATGGTTCTGTACTAGAAGAGTACAGTATTAGAAGAGTCTCTCTGCAAGAGACTCAATTTTAGATGTCAGAAAAACAGAAGAAAGCACTACAAGATAGCTTTTAAATGAGTTGTAAATACAATTAAGAAACTAAACACTTTATGAGAAAAAGTGCTTAGCAGATATCCTCAAGAAAAAAATCTGCCCTCCCCAGGCTGCACAGAGTCTATTGAGCAAGCTGGAAAGTTGGGAAAAAGAATAAAAACAAACTAAAACAAACCAAAACAAAACCCCAAACTAAAATAAACTTATGAAACTGCTTTCCTAAGCACTGAACTCTGGTTTTCTTGGTGTAAAAACAAGCAAGAGGGTTGGACACTGCTGAGAACAGGTTATTGCAGCACACAAGATACTGACCCAAAAAAGTTTGCAACTGGCATGAAGCTGGTTGGTCATGCCAAATGGGGAGCTCTGAAGTACTCAATTCCTCTTTTAGCCTACCCAGATTTTGCATTAATCTTTCCCCACCACTGTAGCCCTGGATGAATCCTCACAAGCAACCATTTATATGAGAGGGATAAGAAAGCCCTGTTTGAACTAGACCCACGCTGGTGCTTAGTGAGGAAAATTGGAGAATTGGGCAGGAATTGTTTCCTCCAATTATTTCCTCCAAGAGATTCAAGAATCTCTTTCTTGAGATTCCCTTTGTCAGAGCAATTTCATTTTGTTATTTTAGATGTATCTGAAATATGATTCCACTCAGGAAAGTCAACTTCTCTTTGTGCCCCACCACATTGGTGCCTGTAGCAAAATTCAGCTCTATGACTTACAGCTACTCTTGCAAGCCAGGCTCATGCTAAGCCCTCCCTCAATGTGACCTGCAAATAAAATAGTTCCTATTAAATAATTCATTAAATTCCTAACTTTGCTCTAATCCAGACCCTTTTTTTCCAAAAATGTTTTTCTCTCCTACTACTTTCTACAGCCAAGTCAACAAGTTTGTCTGGTTCTTGCAATAATTTCCCCCAACACTCTTTTAAATACAAAAGCAACATTAATTGCTCCTCCTATGACATCTACTGTTCAGCTTCTATATATATGTCACTACTGGCTTTTTCACTTCCTGATTTTTTTTTCAGTTTTGTTATCACAACTTTTAATTTCACTCATGTAAATAAACAAAAGGAATAGCAGGACTTGTGGACATTTGCAATAGGGCTTTGCAGCATATTTGTACAAAAACTGCCATGGCAGTACAAGTCTTCAGATGAGAAATTTGCTCACAGGTTAAAAGGATTTTTCCCAATTTAGCTTGTCTTTGGCTTTGTCTTGAAACAGCCTCATTAGGAATTTCTCAGATAGAGAAACACATCCTTTTACTTTACAGATTGGTAAAGTTTTAAAGTATTCCAGGAAAAAAGTTTCCTTGCTGTTACAGGAAAGCTTACCTCTAGACTACAGTATTGAACATCACTTTTTTCAAGTCTTTGACAAGCAATTATGAAGAACCCAGCCCCAAACTGGGATCAAATAAACCAGCGTAATCATGCTAAATTTGCCTCAAAGTAAGCAAGAATTCATAATGCACCAAAACCTGCAGTTTCTGCAGAGTTTGCTCACTTTCTTCTATATATATAGTGCTATGACATTATTGCAATGTATTGAAGTACTGGGATTTTGTCTCTGTTTGTTTCTGAGATGTAAGGGTTAAAACAGAGGACTTTAACTGATGATATTTCAGTGCAGGTTTCTTGTCCCCAATTCTCAAATTGCTTTTCCAGGTCTATCCTGTATAGCACCCCAACAACTAACCTGAATTAATATTAGCAATGCCACAGAAGATGACAAATGTCTCCACCTCTACTTACAAGGATGGAGACTTCAGTTTTGGAAGGACTTGCTCCTCAAAGAGAGCAGTGTTTACAGTGTGCACTGCAGTTATTTCAAAATACCATGTGACAGGACATTTCCTTATTTAGAGTACAGAGCTTTATCCATCAACCCGTTGACATAGAGAAGGACCCATTGCTATCTGCAGAGAGAAGGATTTTTATATACTGCCAAACTTCTAATCCAAGTTTTGGTAGAAGAATGAGGAACAAGTTACATTTGCCATGAGTTTCTCCAGGTTTCTAGTTTTCCTTTCCCTCATGCAATGCTCACTACAGTCATCAGGTAAGTTTCATGTTAGTTTTTTATTAAACTAGATATAAAAAATGTTTTACCTTGGGCAGCTATACAGTTTTAATGCATAGATTGATTATTTTGTATGTTTTATCAGATTTGATACATGATATAAAGAGTATATCAGGTACCCTGGCAGTTCTGGATTCAGAGAATAAAAGGGGGGGGGTGTAGGATGGAAAAATTGAGGTAATAAGAAAAGGATCTTTAAACTGGAATTTCTTTCTATGGAAATATTAAATCAGATGCCATTGTGTGGGATGGAAATGAAAGATGAGGGAGCATGGACCTCTTTCCATTTACCTTCCTCATCACACCCATGGTGCAGTGATCAGTCTAGGGATATACATATTTACATGATAGTTGTGTGAGTTTCTCTTTCTGCCCCATGACACGAGGTATAAGAAGGAAGAACTGGCTCCTCCCCTTCAGCCTCAACAAATTAGAAGAACAGTTCTACTCTGAAGATATTTATCAGTCATTGGGTATAGTTATAGAGAGAAATGGTAAAGCAGTAATGTGTGGAGAACTGAGTGGAGGAATGAGTTTGAATGAATGTGAGACTGAGAGTCTATATCAGAAATTTCACTATGAAAGAACATTCCCATTATACTGTAATAGTTTAACAATATGAATAATTGCTAACCTTAAATAATCTAAGTTTAGGATGAATCTGCAAGAGTTCTCCAAGTGGAGAAATGTGCAACTGAAACCTAAAGTTTTCACTGTGCAAATATGATCATGACAGTCTGGTCTATATTTTCTCTGGTCAGTCACCCTTTTTCTTTCAATAGTTAAGGAATAGGTGAGGTGAAAGAGTGGTTATGGATAGAGTAATCAAGCAAATAAAGCAAACTTACTGAGCTTTGCAGAAAAGAAAAATGCAGTGAACTCGCTGTTGTTTCAGTTTTGTAACTTTTCACTCCTCAGGAAACACAATGTATCATCAACTTTTCATCACAGAATTTGACTTGTCTACAGTGTATATGTATCAAATTCTAACCAAACTTCTAATTTTACAAAAATATTTTACTTAAAATCTGTAGCTACTCTAGGAAGAAAATTATAATGAAAATAAATTTTAAAAGATTGCATAACTTCTCAACTTAGATAGAAAAATATATAATATATAGATCCATTATTAGAAGTTTAGATATATTATTTTTTTATTATTTTCATGTGCTTTAACATTTTTTTTCCCCCTAGTTACTTTTACACTACGAGGAAATGCCAATGGACAGCCTTGTGTATTCCCTTTCAAATACAACGATAAGCAGTACAATGAGTGCACAGATGCTGGCAGGTCAGATGGGCTGCTCTGGTGTGCAACAACTGCAGATTTTGACACTGATAAACTCTATGGATTTTGCCCACTAATAAGTAAGTTTTGCATTTTATTCATTAACTTGTCATGAAATGTTGAGTAGACCATCTCCTGGGCTACCAGGTTTTTTATGGGCCACCAGCTGCACAGCTGCCTGACTGTCCTTGTTAGAGTAGCCCAAATGAAAATCACCTCACTGGACACTAGTACCAATAACTGAGAGCTCTCTCTGCTGTGAATGGAGAGCAAGAGGTGCCACTAAAGATTGGTTCAGCCCAGAAAGGTTCTGACTCAAATGCTGGAGGTGACTGTTTCCCTCTGTGAACCAGAGGGGTGAAGAGGCTCTTTTTGGGACTTAAGTGTATGACACGAATAGAATGAATTTAAACATCTATCTTATTATTTATACTTTCACCTTCTTTTCAAAAATTCCCATTTCTCTTCATTCCTTAAGCATTCCCTATAGGTCAATTCTCACTTAAACTGCTATTTTCTAGTTTTTTCCCTTTAATTTTCTATCTTGTTCTAGTTTCCTATTGCCAGTCTATACAAAAATGCTGCGGTGAGAATTATCTTCCTCTCCCAGCTTTGTTCTGTCTTCTGCACTGAACTTAAGTTTGGATCCTTCCAGCTGAGGACACAAACATTAGTCTCACTCACCAATGCCCATCCCAATAACACAGCAGTTTCACCAGGTTTTGTGAATTGCTCTGCAAAGACAGCAGCTGAGATGTAAATTGTTGTTACACAGAGTTCTTCTGTTGTTTCTCAAGCTGTCAAAGGCCACCTTCTGTCATTTCTGGAAAAACTGCTTCTCTTGATGGTGAGCTAAGAGGGAGTTCCTACCCATTCCTACCCTGGAGGCTCTTCATGCCTCCAGGGTCATAGTTCACCTACACACTTGCTTTTCTCCTCTGACTTTACCCTGGAATCTCTTTATTTCAATCAATAGATATGTCTGGTTTACCTAGAATTGCATTTGCAGTATGAGAAAATTCAAAAGCAAGTACTGGGAAAAAATTCACTCCATTCTAAAAATATAGAAATTTTAAATATTTTTAATTTAAAAGAAATATGCAGTTTTCTAATTTGATGCCCAGAATTATTTTTTTTTTCTGATGCTTAGCATGCATCTTTAGAGATTTTGCATTGTACATTTTATTTTCTTTTAGTTGGTATATGTGAATCCACTAGAACAGTGCTCTATGTCACTTCTTCCAGACGACACAGAAAGATTCTGGACAGAAGATGCTTCAACTGGCATTCACTATCAGATAAACTCAGAATCAGCTCTAACATGGCACCAAGCAAGGAAAAGCTGTCAGCAGCAAAATGCAGAACTACTAAGCATTGCAGAGACTCAGGAGCAAGCATATGTAGGAGGTAAAAGGATAGAGAACAGACTTTAAAAAATGCTGTGGTGAGGCAGGCTGCCTTGTCGTCTGCCTCAGCCAAGAAAGAGCACGGGGTGTCACAGGTGGCTGGGCAGCCACCAAAGGGAGATGGTCTGAGCTGCCCTTCCACTGCCTGGGGGTTTTTATGAAGCTTTGGTCACAAACTCTTTGGGAGTGAAGTGTGCCCATGTCCCATGTGTGCTGTGAACATGGGAGCTCCTGCAGCTCCTGCAGTCAGCCCCAGGGGAAGGGTTTCCTCTGCTCACCTTTGTGCAAGGGCACTCAAACCTGACCAGGGCCTCTAATTTACCTTTTTCCACTGTTTTTCAAGGATTATTAATATTTTCAGGAGAACATATGATGATGGTTAAATTTGTCCTAGTATGGGTACATTTGCATACATAAAATCAAAATAACTCCAGTGGATTTCAGGTACAGGTATCATGGCATCTGTTTGATTATAAATAGTGTAAAGGAAGCTTTGAAAGGATTCCCATAAGAAGAAAAAATTGGAAAATAACTTATTGACTTTTTCTTTTACTCCATGAAATTTGTTACAGAAGACTTCTAGCAGCATTCCCTTATGAATATCAGGGCTTTTTTACATGTTTGTGTTCTAATAAAAGCAAGTGAGAAAAATAAAGTTATATTTAAATAATGAAAGAAGATGTTGATTTGCCCTACTAAGATCTGTAGTAAATCAATATAGATTCATTTACAAATTTTACTTTTTGTAATCAGTGCATGTCAGTAATGCAGAAAGCACCAGTTTGGGACTGGTTTAAAATTAGAAATATGAATTTATTACTTTACACTTAATTTCTTTTAAAATTTCTTACTATGAATAAGAATAGAGAGATACAACTGAGGGATTTTTCTTTTCTAATTTAGAGCTAACAAAAGAATTTAGTTTTGCCTTCTGGATTGGATTGAACGCTTTGGATTTCAACAGTGGATGGCAATGGGCTGGGGGCAGCCCTTTCAGATATTTAAACTGGGCTCCAGGTAAGAGATATATATATTTTGTAATCTTTTAATTAATTCTGATAAGACACCAACTAATAAAAACTGTCCTACCTAATTTTATTTCAGGAAAGTCCATTCTGATTTACAATAGCTCAAGATCTAGACCCCTATTTTAAGACTAACACTTTCAAATTACAAAGTTCATTGTGGATATCAGTTATAGCATTTTATTCTATTCTTATCTAAACAGAGAGCTTGTTTATGAAAGCAGAGTGTCATTTGGAGTGATACATAACCCTACACATCAAAAATCAGAATTTTCCATAACATGTTGTTCACAAGTGTGAATATAAGTCAAATATTCCAAAGGTAGCAAAATATTTAGCAAATAATATCTCTGTGTTGTTTGGAGAATTTCTAAACACTATTGAGAAGCTTAGGGAGCCAGCTTATAATTCCTCAACAGTTTATGCAAAATTGCACTGGGCCACAAGTGAAATGGAGTGGGTTTGTAGTGTTCTTCATACAGGGCAAGTTCTTTGCTTTGCTTTTTGTGTTTTTTTGGTTCTCTGTTTGCTTTATGCCATGAGTATTCCAAACTGTCTCCTGATTTGGAAAAGTTTCAAGGTGTCAAAGGAAAAATTAAACTCTCCTCTGAGTTTTCAAGAGCTTTATCAGGAAATTTGCTTTGCTGCTTACAGAGGTTTGTACACACTGCAAAAGAAAAGAAAAAAGCTATTTCATAGGAAAGCAGAACTGTGAAACTCTTGAAATATAGGGAGGATAATATAACTTAAAACTCAATATTCAAAAGTTTGGAAGTTTTAGACACAAGATAAATGTCCACATTCAGCAGTTCTTCCTGGAAGAACCAGAGTGCCAGGCAAACAATTAGACATTTCCCAGAACTGTGCTGAGAACAAAGTCAGTGAAGGGTCATTATTTCTCTCTCAGAGTATTGACTAAATGTAGCATTGTATAAACTTCAAGGCAGTTATCCTGTAGGGAGGGGCTTCTTCCTATTAGTGATTCAAGGAGTCGTAAAAAGTAGATGTTTCCACTGGTAATATGATGTTTCTGTTAATATTTTTATTAATTCCTTGCTGTGAGATTCTATTTTGTCTCTTACTTAAAGGAAGTCCTTTCCTGCTCCCTGGGAAAATCTGTGGACTGTTGAATCCCAGAAAGAATGCTAAATGGGAAAACCAAGCATGCAATCAGAGACTAGGCTACATTTGTAAAAAAGGATCCTTCCGTTCAAAGCCTGATACTATGCCCAAAGGTAGGTTAGTCAAATAAAAAGAAAGGTTTTCATGATTTCTAGAAAGACAAACTTGTTTGCAACATTATATTTCAATGAAGATATTACAAACCTTAAAAAAACACAGCTATACATGACACACAGATTTTATATGCCATTTTTATTCTCCCTTTGTGTATTAATTAAGAATATTATTATTTTGTTCCATCACTCTATCATTCATTCTTGCAAGACAGATTGTAGACGCTTCATCATGGTAGCCAGAGCCAAAAGGCAAATTTTCATAAATATGGTAGAAATATTATTCTCATTTGCTCCAAATGAGCAAATTGGAATATGAGCAAATGCCTGCAATTACTTGTATATCAATGAAAAAAGTCCTCCTCTGTCTGATGACTGCAGTGCTTTGGTTTCATATGAACAGAGCAGGAGCAGCAACAACACTGACACAGACCTTGTTGCATGTGTGGGGCACCCCAGATCACCAGCACGGCTGTGAACATGCCCCATGTGAGGGGGGGCCACTGGAGACTGTCACCTGGGAATGTTGTACAATCTACTTTTAAGGAATGAGCTACACTACAGAAAGCAGACAAATAAATTCAGAGAATCATTACTCCAGTAATAACATTAAAAAGAAACACAGGATTCTATTTTTACAGCAACACCAAGCTACGTTTTTAAAAATATAAGTTATAAAAATGCCACTGAGAGGATATGGAAAGTCCCCACTAATTTACAAGGTTTACTGACCTGCAGTTGTCAAAAAACTGCTTCATGCTTTTACATACCTGAAAAGTGTTTGTTTGTGAGAAACCAAAGACCAGCAGGCAGAGCCAGTGTGAGTTACCACAGTCAGCACAAGATCGAGTGGCTCTGTGGGACAAAGAGAGGAGAGGCTGATGTCTGCTTTGTTTTTTCACAGATCATTATTTCAAATTGCAATTCTGAAGTAATGTGGACATTTTTCAGTGGTTCTCTGTTTAAGGAGAATTCATTCTATTTACATATTTAGCATCCTGTGCCTTAATGATATTTGCTTTTAATTAGAATGTATTTTGTGTTGCCAACTACAGATTTATGTTTATTCATATATTTCCATTTTTGTAAAGAGTACTCAAGAGACCTCATTCTAGTGTCCTCTATTTTCCTCTTGTTCTGAAAATCTGTGTTCTGATTTTAGGGGAATTGAGGCCTGTTCAGTGCACAGATGGCTGGTGGCCATATGCAGGTCACTGCTACAGCATTCACCGGCACCCCAAAACATGGGAAGATGCTCTGGCTTCTTGTAAAAAGCAAGATGGAGATTTGGCAAGCATCCACAACATTGCTGAAAATAGCTTTCTAGTGTCACAGCTTGGTTACAGTGAGTATATATATGTAGGCCTGTATTGTATTTGCTCCATCTGTGACATAAAAGCTGAACTTCATATTAAAGTTTAATGCTTTCTCTGAAATACCAAAATTGAAAGACTGAATCTGATTTACCATGCTCCTTTATGTTGCTGCTGTTGCATAAATACAGAACTACATCTATGTTTATCAAGGTATAATCCATGCTGTAAAACACTATAAAGGAGGAGAAGAAAAGAAAAAAAACAAAGGTATTCTTTCCGGAGACACATAAAGATCTCTAATTATTGCACTTTTGGCACCTAAATTCTATGTACAAGACTTTAGAACTGAGCTACAAACCTAGAAGATAAGCTTCTTACTGAGATTCAAACCTCTGGCTGATGCTAACCTCTTGCTACATATCCCCCTAAGAAAACAGTATTTTTCACTTCTGATATTCCTTGGATTTATAGTAACCAGTCCTGACACTGCAGATGCTGTCCTTGGTGAACATAAGACCTCTCATGTCCTGGCAGGTGTCTCCATGGCTTGGACTCAGTGTGATCTCCTGAGAGGTGGGACACCCACAGCCATTCAATGTCTTCATGCTCAGGACCATTTTGTTGTTCTGAATCACAGAAAGCTTGCAAAGATCTTCTGTCAGCTGTAAAGAGCCTTATGCTCATTAAAATCAGCATTTCGGAATGGAATCAGATGGGTTTTCCACAACACATTTCTTATAGAGATCTGAGAGGAAACAACACTTTTATAAAAGCACAAAGACCACCTCTTGTGTACTACATGCCAAATGTATCACCCCCCGCTTGTTCTGCATGTGAAAGCATTAACTGCACAGTGGAGAGTAACCAAACCTATTTCTTGTCATGCTTCAGAGCCAACAGAAGAGCTGTGGCTGGGTCTGAACGACCTGAAGTCTCCCTTCTGCTTCGAGTGGAGTGACGGGAGCCCTGTGACATTCACCAAATGGCAGCGCCGGCATCCTGCCTGCACCAGTGGCCTGGAGGCGTGCGTGGCTATGAAGGGGCAGGTATGGCATGCACTCATCTTACAGCAATGCAGCTGCTGGCTGCATCAACCCAAAATCGCTTCTGTGCTTATTCAGGTATCATTCCTTATGTTATCTTGAAGTCGTTTTGCTCCAAAATTTGGTATCAACCAGAAGAAAAGTTCAGAGGTCAGGAGATATCAGAAGGAGAGGAAACATTTTCCTAGTACCCCCTTCTGAAATTCCTTGTCTGGTGAAAATTCTGATACAGAAATTTTCCATTAAATTATTTTCCTTGGTTTCAGCAAAGAAAAAGTTTAAGATCTGGGAGAGGAATAGGGATGAACTAGTTAATACCCTATGTGGATACCATAGGTGCTCTTTGCATACCTCATATTCCAGTCAGATAGACAATTTTGTCCCTCAGTGTCACCTCACTGAGACATGGCATCTAGGCACAGAGACCTGGCACTAGGACATGTTTCTTCAGCTGTCATCTACCTGCCAAAAAACTAATATAAAATTCTATAGTATTTCTGACTGCTTGACTCACAAACTTTATTTTCTTGCAAGATGTCTTGCAAGATGTGATTGATACATTTACCTTTGATTGTTTGATACATTACATGTGCATGTGCATGCACATGTATGCACACACAAAAAGTGTCATGAATTTGAAAGAAAAAAATTTAAAATGCTAGTATGAAATGCATGCTGTTATTGAGAGAACATTTATGTCATAGAAAAATGTCAACATTTTTCAATATTAAGGACCAAAAGAATTGGTCCTAAATCAGATTTTATGGGTGGATGAGGGAAAAGTTCTTCTTAAACAGGCTATATTTGTTTAAAGCAATCAGTGCATTCAGATTATTTGATGGATAAAATAATTAGATTTACTGCAACCCTAGCAGATGTGCATTAGTTCAGTTTAATGAATCTTTTTTTTCCAGCAGTGTAGTGAAATAATCCTGCTCCAAGAGCAGATCCTATCAGCTGCAGATGAGATGGATCTTTACAAACCCTTTCATTTAAAAGTTGTGATAAGAAGTAATGTTGAGACTTCAAAATGTTAATTTCCTTCTTTCATCTCAAAACAGCATTAAATGAATCTTAAACTAGTATGCTTAAAGATGTGTTTATTTGTCTTAATGAATCTACAGCTTGCCTTGTGAAGAAAGGGAAAAATCATTAGTTTGCTTATGAGTGCCTTTCCTTGACATTTGCTCCTTCTCCCTGCTATTCTAGGATGGATACTGGGCAACTGACGTTTGTAATAAGCAGCTTGGTTACATCTGTAAGAAGAAGCCTTCATCACAATCCTCTGAAAAAGAGACAACTGAGGACCCAGGCTGCCAGAAAGTAAATGCTCTCTCATAAATAATAATCCTTGAAAAAGTGTAGAGGAATCAATTTACTAGTTCTTGCTTCTTTTGGATATTGTCTTTGTATCTTATAGAAAATCTCCTGTTGAGGCAATCTGGTCTTTTCCTGCTAGCAGTTTACTAATTGATGAGCATTTTCCATTTCTGTTCTGAAAATTTTCAAGAAAGTTGAGATTCATGTACATGTAAGTGAATAATGCCTTGCCCTCCATTCCCAGATGAGCCACCTTGTGATTCGGAAAAGCATTGTGTCTGTATTGGTCAGCAGAGATCTCTGTAAGAGCAGGAAGAAGTGAGGTTGTTTTACTGATATTCCTCCTTTCTGCTCTCCCTGAATACAAGCACTTCTGGATTCCTCTTGGCTCAGAAAATCTCTTAACTCCTTGTACTTGGGAGTGACAGGGACAGCTTTGGGGGCTGTGCTTGCATGTAAAGTCATTTCTGTATTGCAATATTTTGGTATTTCATTATGTCTGATTGTGCAGTTTTGGAAAGCTGGAGCTGCAAGTCCCCCTGAATAAATCACGGGCTCCTTATAGACTCAGTTTGCATAATCTCAACCTTATAGAGCACTGGAAAGCCACAGCAAACAGCAGTCACAATTTTCTTTGCAAAGTCATGTAAGCAAAAAAGAGATGAAAACCGAGATCTTAATGTCATCCCTTAAACAAAAAAGCCTCCTGTAGGAGTGAACAACATTAAAAAAGTGCTTCTATTTACTAACAGATCAGCCCAGTCTCATCTTAGTTTTAAACTCAGCTGCAACAAATTGAGCATTTAATATTTACACACACAAGAGCAGAAAAATTCCTACATTGAAGTATCTTTCCATTGCACATTAAAAATGTTATGTTTGTCACAGGGTTGGAAAAGATATGGTTTTCACTGTTACTTGGTGGGTTCTGCGCTTTTGACATTCTCAGAAGCAAATAAGACATGTGAACAGAGCAAATCTTATCTAGCTACGGTGGAAAGCAGGTGGGAAAATAACTTATTTACAAATCAATGCTTTTAGTGGAGAAACTTGCAAGAATTTTCCATTTTTTGAATTAATCAAAGTATTTTATCAGCATTTTCAAAAAACATTATTTTAGCAAGGCATGCAAAGATAATCCCTGCAAGAAAAATAAACCCAAAGCAAACACCTCAATATTGTAGGGCTATCTACTTAATTCATCACAGCAACTTTCAAATTTGGGGGCTTCTTGAACTAAACAGTATCTTTTTATTTTTCAATTCATAATTAAAGCAACTTCTGGCTTTGGTGGGGTTTTTGGTTTTCTTCTTTGTTGTTTCGTTGGGTTTTTTGATTTGCTGGGATTTTTGAAAGAAGATTTTACAATTTTCATCTACTTGCTCTCATAGTCTCTCATGATAGGAAAGCTTTAATAAAAATATTTTCCTAAACTACTTTCTAAGTCAAATTCTAAACAAATGTAGGAAATGTTCCCCAGAACCTGCCCTCTCCCACAGCCAGAATGTATCATCTCTAATCTACCTACAACCCTGTCAGGCTTCTGAGGCTTCATGGCCCCTGAAGAACCTGACTGCCTTCAGATTGGTAGCAAAGCTGACAGCTTGCTCCTGTCTTGATGGTCTGTTTGAAGCACCTCAAACATTTGGAAAGACAGTGAAGAGAGCTGACTACAACTAGAAGCCCATGGGAGCAGCAATTTGTGATGTTTAAGATGCCTTCAGAAAAAGTACAGGGAAAGTTGCCCCTCATGAAATTCTTTTGACTGCAGTTTAAAGACTAACAGGATTTTGCCTAGACTTCACTGAAGAGCTGCTGTTTTGGAGTCATGTTAAAACTCCTCTGTTTTTATCACTTAGATTAATATTGCACACTAACAGGCTGTGAATTAACACTGTTTCCCACTGCAGACATGAGCAAACCTTTCTGATTAGCCTGACGGGGCTGAGGTCTGAAAAATATTTCTGGATTGGTCTCTCTGACACAGAAGAAAAAGGGAGTTTCAGGTGGACCAATGGAGAAACTGCTCATTTCACACACTGGAACACAGCTATGCCAGGTAAGCTCTGCATGGGCTCAACCCCTGCAGAAGTGCAGCTGCAGCTCTCAGGTTTGTGCTTTCATTCCCCTGGGTAGAAATTAGAGTGGGCACTATGATCTGTGCCTGTAGCTGTGGGTGGCCAACACCACCAGTGTGTCACTGTGTCTGACAGCAATGCCACCAGCACAGGCACAGCTGAGCTGCAGGTGTTGGTGTGAGCCAACCTCCTGCCAGGGTGTGCAGAGACAGATTTTGATAGGTTAGACTGAAGGCAGTACTGTGTAGGAGTTAACAAGGTCCATGGTATAATTATTATTGTCATTTTTAACACCGGACCAGTTAACAACTCATCAGCTTTATAAAAATTATTCTGGATGTTTTTTTGACCCACAATGTGCATAGGTAAGAAGTGAGCAATGAACATGCAGCTGTTTGGCATTTCAGCAATACAGCTGAGCAGCTACCTGTGAGCTCTTGCCTTCACACAGCTAGTTATGCCTTAGGAGAAACCTGCTGTACTTGACATCACCCTTCTTGAAATTGAGTTATCAGGATATTAAGAACTCCAAAGCACTTGTCAGGTCATCTATTACATATGTAAATTTAATCAAGGGCCATTTTCTCCCTGATTTGTTTTCTGAAGCTGCAAATCTCTGGCTTTGGTAACACTGTGTCTTTGGGACTCATCTCATCGGTCCATATCTGGCCTCTGGTAGTTGACATTAAAAATAGTTTATATCCAGGATATTTTTAATATTCATAATCTGCATCTTTCTTTTCATAATTTTCAATTCATAAAAACAAAGGTCTCATTCCTTAGGCAGCAATTAAGGCTTTGGTTTCACTCATTTCTTTTCCACATCACAAAGGGAAAGAGCAAGGCTGCGTTGCCATGAGAACAGGAATCGCAGCTGGATTATGGGATGTTGTTAGCTGTGAGAAGCCATGGAATTACCTTTGCAAACGGTGGGCAGCAGGAGTGCCCCATCCTGCTCCAGGACAGGTGCCTGTGGCCACGTGTGCCCAAGGCTGGAACAGAGCCTCCCAGGCAGACTCGTGCCTCAAAGTAAGTGTGTGCCCACCATGTGCCCACCTTCCTTCCCCGGGAGCCTCAGCAGAGGCAGGGCACTGTGCCCTGCTACCAGGATGCTGGGGCATTATTTGGGAATGATCTTCTCTTTGGTATTCATGGCAAGGAAACATGGGGGAAAAAAAATCCATCAAATGTAATGAAAGTCAGCAACAGAAAATGATAAAAACAGTGCTAGAAATATGCTTTCTTTTATCTAAATGCCAGGTGAGAACCTCACCTAATTTATTTGCTTCCAGGAGTTTAGAACTTCATAAAAAACATAGTATCACATCTCAAAGGCTGGCAGTATCCTTAACAGAAATCAATGTTTCGGAGTGAAAATGTGCCCCTCTTACAACCTTTTCTAACACAGCATGTGATCCTCATAGCAATACTTTTGGATCTGGATTTAGTTGGTGACACTTTATAGCAAGTAAAACTTTTGAGCCTTCTCTTGATTTAGTTAAAAGTGCCTTAATAATATCTCCTTTTTGCAAAGGAAAAAAGGAAATAAAATACAATATTGATCAAGTAAATAAATATGCAGTATTGTTCTTCCATGTCTTTATATAGGTCTGATCTCACTATTCCTGAGACTCTCTGCCTGTTGGGAGACCAGAGCTGATTTTATTCCTGTATTTACAAGGGTCTGAGCTTCTATGTCACATGTAATTTTGATTAAATTGGTTCTGCCATTTACCAAATTGTTAATCATCATTTCTATAAAATGTCAAGCACTCAGTCCTGTTAAACACAGCCTTAGTCCAAGAATGTATGTTCCTCATGGCAGAAAGTGTATTTTGTATCTGTATACTTGCACCTCAATACAAAAAGCTCTTCCTCAGCTGGTGTCTGCACTTGGCCAAACACCATTTTGTATCCATTTTATCTTTTCCAGTCCAGCTCACTGACTTACCCTTCCCCTTTCTTTTCTCAAAAATATTCTGTTTTCTACTGAAAAATGCCATGGTTGAGTTTTTCCATCTTTTTTTGAACATTTCAGTGGACAAAGTTCCAATTAAATTACAGATTAGTTTTTTCTCCTCCTCATTACATTCTGATACCTTTTGATCTCCTCAAATACCTATACTAATTTTGCCTTATTTTAAAATAGATGATGCTAAGAAAAAAATGTTTACACTTCACATTTTAATGTTTAATATTGGAGGCTTGGACAGGTGTCATGTAGTGTCACTCAAGGATAAAGGTGTGCTAAAATGATGCTGATTTTAATTACACATATTTTATAAGCTTCAAAAATGTACTAATTTATTTTTACTTTTTGTTGTCAATAGTTTTTTGTGAGAGAGGGAAACCAAAAGAAGTCTTGGTTTGAAGCTGAAGAATTCTGTAGAGAAATAGGTGGAAATCTGGTCACAATCAATACAAGAGAAGATCAAATTTTATTATGGCAATTAGCTTCGTGAGTACTTGCATAAAGATACTTCTTCATGTTCCTGCTATGTTAAATAAAAATTACTTAAAACATATCTGGAGCTGAACAAGTGAGTAAATAAAAACAACCAAATTTAAATTACATTGATACAAGATTCTCTTCTGGAAATAGCATCCTGTTACATTGAATTAAAAAATAATCTTGAGTATTTCAAAGAGGCTTAATATTTTGGTTATTTTCATCACAGGTTTTAGCAAGGCCATTTTCCAGATCTTATAAAAGGCCATTTTCCAGATCTTATAAATTTCTTACATGTTAGTCCCTCTCCCTAGAGGGAGAAAATAAAATAATTCAGCTCTAACTGGCATTTTGTAACTGTCTGCAATTCTTCTTTAACCAACCCATCCAAAAAATCCCTTGAGTTACTGTGCAATATAAATCAAAAGTCAAGGACTTAACGTGAAATTTTTCTGACTATAAACTGAAGAATCCTGAAATCAAAGAGTAATTAATTTTAATTAACCTTTGGTAGCATTGTAGATGCTATATCTTGCTCATGATTTATAAACTGTGACATTATTTTCACCTCAAATTAGACCAATATTCTGATTGTATTCCATAATGTCAAGACGTGTCAATGACACATAATATACATATACAGCTTTTTAACCAAAACTGTTTCACATAGTGGAAAATTGAGGTTTACTTTCTGAAACAGATTTAAAACTTTCCTATTAAGAAGTTTTTGTGATCTTACCCTTCTTAAATTTAAATATATTTCAGTACTGTGGTCACTTGAATGTGGTTTTATTTGTCTGTTAAGTCTCTTTTCTTTAGAGTATAAAATATTTGTGGAAGGAAATTTTTGTATTATGCAGTGACAGAAATAGTAATTTTATTTGGTCCATAGGCAGAAGAAGATAAATAGCATGAAATATTAACTAAATTACTTAGGAAGTGCTAAGAAGCAAATGAAAACCATTCAAAATCAATTATCACTATTTTTATTAATTAAATAAACATCTATTTATGCTTTACTTTTGCTAAAGCTCTGTCTTTGAACTCACACTAGAACCAAGATCTGTGCTATATACACAAGGATGGGAACGAACTGGTTCTGGGCCACATCACTTTAACTTTTTTTAAAATATGATGAATCTTTAAATATGATCGTCACAGAGCACTATCACCTCCCTGACAGAGTGCAGGGAGTGAGCTTGGCTTTGGGCCACAGCTCCCAGTTCAGGTGTGACAGAAAGCAGGATATTTCTGTGCTTTTCAGGATTTATATCCCAGCCTCCCTTTCAATGCCTTCATAACTATATTGTACAAATTGTTTTAGGGACAAAGGGCTGAACACTCAGGCTTTCTGGATTGGTTTGTTTCTCTTAAATCCTGATGAAGGATTTGCCTGGATTGATGGCTCCCCTGTGAGTATTTATTTGCTGGATATTAATTTTCTGTCTTTTAGAAAAGATATACTTTAGAATATACAATGAATAGATGCAGTGCACTGTCTTAACGCAGCATTGCCTGTGTTTCATCCCTGGTACCATGTTATATCCCACCTGGACAGTCTGTGCCCTTAGACCTTCCCAGCCTCCCAAAACGGGCACTGCTGTACGGCAGTACAGGGAAGCTCGGTTGCCAGCTTTCACAAAAGAAGATAAATGTGACTCCTCTGCCCATCAGTTTTTCTTTATCAAGCACGTGGTTTTCTATACCATGTAGTCTCTTGTACCTTCTTCAGGGAGTGGTGGGGAAAGTAACCTGACCAACATGACCTTCACAGCCCTCTCAGGTCTGTTTGAACTCCTACTTATCCCATAAAAAAGATACTTGAGATAATGAGATACTGAAATTGTGTCATGATGACAATCTCAATTACTTCTATTCAACTCGAATCACACAGTAATTTATATGTATTTCCAACACAGGTAATTTATGAGAACTGGGAGGAAAATGAACCCAACAACTATGAAGAACTTGAACATTGTGTTATGTTTAATGGATCACCCCAAATGCGCTGGAACGACTTGCGCTGTGAACATTTACTTAATTGGATTTGTGAAACAAAAAAAGGTATTATTGCTTCCCCATTTAATTGGAGCAATAAACTCAAGCTTAAAAAGCAAATTTTATGGATCTAAATAAATTGAAAGGAAGAAAGACACTGGGAATTGTTCATTTTAAAACCACTTACAGTGAAGGCAACACATAAAGCAGGTAGAATGAATTTAAATATTTCTCTTGTCCTTGGGTGCAAGAAGTTAGAATATCCCTATTACTTTATCTCTAGTTTTATCTCTTTCTGGCATGGGTTGAATAAATTTGTGAAGCAAAGGTACTTATCCCCTCTCCTTTTATCTAGTCCCTCTATTTCTATCTGCTTCAGGCTTACCCAGGATATCTGTAGATGCAGGATGCTAGAGTTCTCTTTATAAAAGTGAAAAAAGCTTGCCCCCCACTGTGAAACAATTAATGGGAACTAAGAGAGGGATCAGTTGCTATAGGAACCAGCAACCCTGAAAATGCAATCTGATCTAAAGTGGAGGCTGGTGTAACCTTGATGGACTCCTGCATCTACCAGCTTTGCCTGGAAAGCAGGGCCCCAGTGCCAAAACTCCCCCACCTGGTGCCAGGCTCACAAAATGGACCTGACAGATGTTGGGGTGCCTCTCAGCAGGAAATGGAAATGGGGTCTGCGTGGGCTGAGGAGATCAAATGACAGCTGACAATGAAAGGACTTGTTTTGCTTGCTCAGTCCTCCTTCTACATCCCTGCTTCCTGGTGCTAAACTGAGTGTTTGTATGCATCTCCATGGAGAAGGAGACTTTTAAAACCTTCTTGAAATGAAAAGAAAGTTGGATGCACACAGGGAACTACTAGGAGGCACAATAGGAAGGGGAAGGGATAAGCAGTTACATAAAAACACTGACTGTATCTAATATTTGATGACTCTGCCAACAAAACCCCTGAAGGGTGAATAAGGCACCATGGTAACATTGAAAAATTGCTTAACCAAAAAGGAAGAATCACTGTTCCCTTTTGGTAAATTAGTCACACAAATGCAACATTCAAGCCTTAATTTCTGCCTACCAGCTCAAAGCAGCACATCCTGTGCAGCCCCTTCTGGCACACTGAGCATGCTGCTTTGTGTGGATGTGTCTCTGCTCTTGGTGAAATTACTCAGAAGGAGCTCAGCAACTGTGACACAAAGACTCTGATCACTTTATCTTGCTCCTAGATGACCTTTCAAAAGCAGGGAAAAAAAATCTAGAAATGAATCTTGTAATTCTGAATCTAGATCATGTGATGATCAACATGACAGAAGACATGCTCACATGTGAATTCCCTCACATGCACTTAAGACATCTATTTACAAAAGATATTCCAGCTTTCTGAAAACAATGAATGTTACAGTTATCTGAGGATTAAACAATAAATAAAAATAACCAGAACTATATAAATAATGAAGACATTGAAATGCAATAATTTTAGTTCTATTGTTCACTAAATACTTCAGGAAAAAAATGTTTAAATGATCCCAAAATAATTTTACCCAATTTTTCTTTTTTTGTTGTTGTTTATTTCTCATCAGACTATTGCTGACACTTCTATAATACTGTGTTTCTGTCCATCAAACCACAGTAGAAATGTGAGAATTAATAGTCCAGAGGTACAAAATAACAGGCAGTCATATGAAAGAAGAGTTTCATTTCAGAGGCTATAGCTGGCTTTGTGAATACAGCTAATTTGCTTCCTCCTGGTTCAGCCTGTAATCAGAAACTTGGATTTGATATCCATTGACTCTCCAGGACTCTTAAAAACAGAATGTCCTAGTAAAAGCCAAGTCATCAGGAAAGGAAGAATTCATTGACACACTAGAAGTTACACCTGACATTAGCAATAAATCAGCATTACGTTTTCAGTACTTGTGGATAGTCTAGCACCATCTAGGTAAGCTTTAGAATTTACTATATTGGATTATGTTGTTTGGCTCTAGTCCCAAGAATACAAAAAAAAAATTAATCATAGAGTATCAAGTGAAAATGTTAAAACAAATTTTAAAAATAATTTTTGTTTAATCTACCAAAAATTTACTATGAAACATGGATTTTTTGATACAGTGTTTTGGATATACATTACTGTAAAGTACATATTTTTCACTAGCTAAATGTTACTAAATTATACACTTATTTTAATATGGCAGAATGTGCTCTGAATTCTTGAAAATGCATTATCTGATTCATAGTTTGGTGGGTTTTGTTTCTTTCCCCTCTATTTTACAAAGTATGCAAAACTACTTAAATTAGATCTCTCTGATTTTTTTTTTTTTTTTTTATTTG